CTAGGAATTGCCATCTGATTATTATGAAACTGGTTTTGTCATGACAAAAATGAGCTTAAGTCTTGTTTTTTTGGAAAATGATCAGTACAGTGAACTGGATGAGAGAGAAGGAGATTAAATCCAACTTGCTTTCATCCATGAATGCTTTCATCTCTTTTTCAAACATAGGAAATGATTACCACTGCTATAAGCTGCAGTTCATATGAGTGAAAAAGGATAAGGAAATATTGAAAATTCTGTAACCAACAGTAGGACATAATATATCCCTGGCACCCACTGAGCGACATGTACTTTATTTTTCCATACTGCCAATGTCAAGAGTTTCATAGTTTACAGTGCATCCTACCTTGAGGTGTTATATTCCAGACTGAGGAACAAGCAAATGACTTTTGTTTTTAGTTAAAACATTTTTTTATTTTACAAAAATCAGAAGATGATATTTACAGAGTTAAATAACCATTAGCCACAGGGAAAGATTAGTTCATATTTAAAGTTTGTCAAAAAGAGAAAAACAGAACAACTTTTATTTTATTTTACAATATGCTATCAAGTAGACAGGAGGCTCTTCACTAGATGTGATCACTAAAACTAATTTATCTTTGTACACTTTAAATCTGGTATATTGTAGCTACTTGTGTAAGATCATTCTTAAATCAGTTAATGAATGAATGAATGCATGTCCTTCGACTGAGTTTCCAAGTTATTTTCAGATTAAAGAAATAAACCTGGTATGCAAATCATCCTTCCAGAACAATATTAACTCTGCCCTTTCCTTCTATGTTATACACTGCATATATGAATGTAGTCTAGCAATACCTAACATGCTAGTTGGATTTCCAAATTGTTCCCTAAAATGAGTCTTATTTTTTAGTGAATGAGACCAGTTGTAGTTACTAGTCAGATGGGCTGGTCACGTAATGAGATTTAAAGACGACCGTTGGACTAGAGCTGTTACTGATTGGATTCCACGGGATGTCAAGAGACCGCGTGGCCGCCCACCTACCAGATGGTCAGACTTCTTTGTCAAGGTCATGAACGATCGGTTTGAGGCCCTCCATGTTCCCGGAGCGAAAAGATGCCATTGGGCTACACTAGCACGCGACAGGGACAAATGGAGACGTTACTGGCGCCCGCTCGAGCAAATCGATGACTAACGGGAAGTTAAGTGATTAAGTGATAAGTGATTTTTTAGTAAGAGTTGAAACTGAATCTATACTGTATCAGTTATCTCTTGAAACAGGTCCTTGTACATTTTAATTCTGTAGCAAAGCCACACAACTTTCATAGCACACAACAAAAAAGATCTGTTCTCTTTTATGTCTGTTTTGGAGCTTGGTTGCACAACTATGCTGGTGTTGATAGGCTTTAATGACATCTAGGAATTGATAGTTCAGTTACAAGATCTTGGATGGTGGTCCCTGGAACAGGCAGTGTAATTTGAATCTGTTGCACACAGTTCTCATTCTCCAGTAGCCTAGTCCTGCTGCATCAGCTTTGAGAGTGAAGGTGTAGGAATGAAAGTGTAAACCGCAGGTTCTAAGGTCTTGACTTAGAACCCACACTAATACTCTATTTTAATTGCGAGAAAACAGTTCCAGCCTCAGTAACAAAGGGTTTTATTAGATGGGAAGGTGAATAACTGGCTCTTTTGGGAAAATGTATATCTACTATAAACAAAATTTAAAAGGAAGGAATAGTGAAAGAGTAATTATTAGTTTTTGCGGGGAATCCACCAGAACTGAACCGATTTGAATGCACTTGTTGTGAGACTGACTTTTTTAGAGTTCCTAATTATGTATATATAAAATGCAATTGTGATGGTACCTAGATGAAGTCAAAGATATAAGAAATGTCCACATTCTTGACCTTTAGAATTGCCCACATATAGGAAATGACAAGCTTTTTATATAACTTGTTGACATATTTTCTGCTCTGTAAATATGAATAAAAACATAATAGAATCAGTGACAAAAATGATAATAAAGAAACAGAACAAAGGGTGAGTTATTGTGGAGATAGGGTTGATAAGGTGATGCAGGGTGGGAACTCCTGCTCAAAATACAGAAATTTTACCATTCAAATTATATCAGAGAGAGCAGAAAAGAAGAGAAGAAAGATGACTTTCATGGGACCGATAGGGTGACACCCATACAAAGCTCATGACCCAAGGTTATTTGTGTATTTCATATTTGACTCATTTATATTTTGTGAGCCTCGAATAGTGCTTCTCAGTATTCAATTTTTTTCTCCATTGATTTTAATTAAGCTCACCATAGGCTAGCAGGCCCAATGAACAGGGAGAGTTATTTTCTATCAAAAAACTATCTAGCTTCTGAGTCAAGAATTCTGGGTTTTATCCACATTTCTTTCGAAATTGCTTCTGTCTTGTGGCATGATTCTTAGAATGTGAAATAAAGACACATTCACCAGCTACTCTATAAATATTTTCCCTTCCTGTAACTGTAAAAATTACCATATTATTCCTGATTCAGATATGTCATATGGAATCTAAGATTGCTGGTAAGTGCTGTATATATGCTTGCTCCTGTGCAGCAAGTGGGGCTCTGTGCCATTTGTAGTTGGACATACTTGCTCACCTCCATCGAGATGTCTAATCACATGGCTTCCCTCTTCCTTTCCATCATTTCCCTCTTAAACACAAGCTTTTAGTTTTTATGTTTTTGACCCAAGCAAGGAACTGATAGATTGATTTAGTATTTTAGGGTGAATCTAATCAATAGATTGTGTTACTTGTTAAGAAATTGCTGCTTTGTCTTTATGATGAGGAGTCCCACAAGTCACAGTGTCAGGTTTCTCCTACTTACTCATTACACAGGTTGTTTCAAGAGATGCTTTAGACTTATCACTAGGGTAACATCAGGTGATGGGGGAGAGTTCCTAAAACTATAGAGTCACTCATTTACATGATCTTTTTAAAAAGTGCAAATCGGGCAGATTTAAACCACAGTCAACAGTAGGAAGTCACATATGTGGGTCTCATCAAAATTAGAATAAGTGAATGAAGAATAAGCATAATGCTAGCAAAACCCCACAGCATTAGAGTCCCAGAATAAAGTAATCCTACTGAGGATGTTTTTTCAACATTGTAGATCAAACCTAGGACATGTGAAACTCGCACAGCACTGCTAAGTCACTTCCTCAGCCCTACTCAGCCATTTCATTATGAAAAATGGAAAAGAAGAAAACAGAAAGGAAGAAACTGTTTTGACAAAATGCTCTTTCTGATTACTAAATTAACATTTTAATGATAAAACTATATTTTATTAACTGTTATGTGGGCATATGGAAGGTTATTCCTATCACAAGTGACTTCAAAAGATGTCCATGCTACCTTACCATATGAGGTCCTTATAGACTGCCAAGAAACTGGATTGCTCAGGATAAGCATTAAAAAAAGAGCAGGAGAGAGCAGAAGATAGCAGAAGCATCATCTGCATTCTATTTGTTGGAAGCTAATTAGTAAGTTCACTTATGTGTTTTAATTTTTTTTATTGAATCACTGTGAGATGGACCCTTATAAAACTATTCATGATTAGATTTCAGTCGTACAGTGTTCCAACAACCATTCCTCAAGAACCTGAGAGAGAGAGAGAGAGAGAGAGAGAGAGAGACAGACAGAGATAGAGATAGAGAGGTAGAGAGAGAGAAAGAGAGAGAGAGACAGACTTTCACTCACTCTTAAGATGAACATATTATACTGGGGCCCAAATGTTGATTCTGGGAAATATTGGAAGCCACGTTGAGTTGCTCTCTGACAGATAGTTAAAAAATAGAGAGTAACAGGATTTGCTTGCCTTGCTCATGACCAAATTGGGTTTTATCCCTCGCACAACAGTCTCCTGAACACCATCAAGAGTGATTCTTGGGAGCTGGAGCGATAGCACACGGGGGTAGGGCATTTGCTTTGCACATGGGTTCGATTTCCAGCATCCCATATTGTCCCTTGAGCATTGCCAGGAGTAATTACTGAGTGCAGTGCTAGGAGTAACCCCTGTGCATCATTGGGTGTGACCCAAAAGAAAAAGAAAAAAAAGAGTGATCCTTGACCACAGAGCTCTGAGACCAGTGGGTGAACCCAAAATTCAAAAACTAAAAATAGGGGCTAAAGAGATAGCACAGAAGATACGGTGCTTGTCTTGCACTTGACAAATCTGTGTTTAGCTCCCAGCACCACACATGGTGCCCAGAGTCACCCAAGGAGTGAAACCGGAGCACAAAACAAGGAGTAATCCCTGAGCACTGCCTGCTATGGCCCAGAAGCCAAAATATATAATGAGTAGAGGACATGTGTTTTTTAAAAAAATTTCTCATGTGTAATGTTATCACTGAGATAAAACTTAATGTTAGGGGTATATGCATACAGCCATTATTTAAAACATAGATACAGGATCTTTAGCTGATAGAATAACTAGACAATATTCTGAATTTCTTCATTATATAATAGTTTTTAGTAAAATGTACAAAATTTTTTAGTTATTTAGAAATGCATACTTATTTTTGAAAATCAAATAAAACAAAAAAACAGAAAAGTCATCTATAATCTCTGTTCTGACAAGACTGCTATTTCATAGTTTCTTCTTTATATATTTTTTGAAAATACACAGATATAAACATAGATTCACCAACTATCATTTGGTAATCCCTGTGTTTATATTGTACTCAAATCAATCTGTTGATAGCAGATTTAAAATATGAGGGGACCAACCTCTGCAGCTGACAATTTTTATTTATTGTCTATGGGATAATTGTTAAACATTGAAGAGCTTAATTAAATTGGCATTTAACATTTTGTGTGTATTATATTTTCAGGTGTACCAAAATATGCATTTCCATCAGAGCTAAGAGTTACATTTCTAATATAAATTTGTTGTTCAGAAAGAAAATAACAGTATTTCAAAAGTGATTTATATAATTTAGATAATGTTCAATCATGCTCAAAATAAAAACAACCAGAAGCATTATTTCTTTTAAATCTTCCATATTGTTTCCTCTGAAAGATACAAGACAAACAGTTGTTTGCTTAAATTATGTTAGGATATTTCCTTTTCTCCATCTGAATAACCAATAAAGACATAAGATGAATAGGTAAAATGAGAAGGGGGTATAAGTGGTTTTTTTCTTAAACTTTTAGTTGACCATAAACACAACTCATTTCCTATTAAATGCAAAATTGGTATTTTGTTTCTGTCAGACAATACTATATATCACCTTAAATTGTTTCTGTTAAATGAGATATATAGAAGGATGGGGTTTGGAGGAGATAGGGCCCATAGTTGGAGCTAGAGAAATAGTACAGCAGGTAAGGCATATGCCTTGTACACAGCCAGCTGGTTTTAAACTTCACCATCCCATATAGTTCCCTGAACACCACCAGGAATGATCACTGAGTTCAGAGCCAGTAGGAGGTCCTCAGCAAGCTCACCCATCACAAATTAAAAAAAGAAGCAGAAATGTTCCATGGCTACTTATGTTTTAATTTATATGAATTTCTGATACAAGAATTTAGAGTTAACTATGAGAATTTTTCTCTTTAAGAAGGAGAAAATTCATGATCAATATGTCCAATTAATATGAGTATTTATAAAAACTTACATTTTAGATAAATTCTATGTAAGCGATCTCACACACAGACAAGAGATCTCTCTATTCAACAATAGTAAGTTTTTTTTTTTTTTTGCTTTTTGGATCACTCCCGGTGATACACAGGGGTTACTCCTGGTTTTGCACTCAGAAATTACTCCTGGCAGTGCTTGGGGACCATATGGGATGCTGGGAATTGAACCCGTGTCGACCACGTGCAAGGCAAACGTCCTGCCCACTTTACTATCACTGCAACCCATACAATAGTAAGATCTTAATCCTCAGATTTTCTCCTTTGTTTTCACCTTCATTAATCTATCTGTTTAACTAAGGCTGAATTCGCTAAGCATAGTATTTTACAGCCCTCATCCATGGACAACTGAATTGATTATATAATATCAAAATAAGAACACAAAAATAATTTTAAGTATATATTCATTTCATTTCATCATCCTGTTATTCGTCGATTGCCTCGAGCAGGCCCCAGTAACGTCTCTTTCATCCTAGCCCTGAGATTATATTCAAGGCTGTTTAGGAGAGTGAGACTCATCATTGTTACTGGTATTTGGCATATTTGGTATGCCACGGGGAGTTTGCCAGACTCTGCCCTGTGGGCAGGCTACATTCGATAGCCTGCAAGTTTGTCCAAAGTAGAAATAAGACAATAAGATGTCATAAAAAAAAAGTTCTGTTAAGATGTCGCGCAGCTGCGAATGCGGCCGCGCGGTTCTGGGATCTGGATTTTATAGTCTCTGAGTCTTGGCCGCTGATGGGATTACACGGCGCCAGGGGGCCAGGTGGTGGGTGTGACCCCCGCCTACTGGAATTTGGAGGATCTGGGTGGAAGATGCTCGACTCCAATTCGAGTAGGCTTGGAGGTCTCGGCCCCGGAACCCGCGTGGCTTTGTCCCTCTGCCAGTACCTTCATGTGTGCAGAGAGTGGTCTCAGCATGGTGGTGGCTGGTCCTGGAGGTCTTCGGCTGCCGGAGCCCTGGTTGGGGCGGGGAGGAAAGCTCAACCCGCTCCCCTCCAAGGGACTCCGGGAAGGAACACCCAGGCGCAGGGGCAGAGACTGCACTGTTCTCGTCCGGGATCTCGAATTGGAGTCGAGCATCTTCCACCCAGATCCTCCAAATTCCAGTAGGCGGGGGTCACACCCACCACCTGGCCCCCTGGCGCCGTGTAATCCCATCAGCGGCCAAGACTCAGAGACTATAAAATCCAGATCCAGAAGTATATATTATGCACTGCTATTTTAGCCAAAGCCGTAATCTTACAAAAATATACCATAAAAGATGTGTGTGTGCATGCATGTGTATTTGTGAGTGTGTGTGTGTGTTTGTGTGTTTGTGTGTGTGTATGACATTCATAGTCAATCCAGTTGCTTTAGAAATACAGTGCCTGAATCCTATCCTCAGAAGTTCTGTTGTTAATTGTTATTTGGTGCTCTGGTCTGTATACTGGGATTTTTAACAGTACCCTAGCCAACTTCAAGAGACCAATTTCTGACTTAAAATGTTAAGCTTTCCAGATAATAGTATTTGCAAATTAGTTTTCATTTAAATTGAGTGCATCAAGCTCCTGTTTAAAGTTTTTTAGTGGTTCACCAATGCTGCAGAAGTATTTTTCAAAGCTGCCTGATAGTGAGTGTTACCTGTAGTATTTGTTAGTATCCACATTCTTGGGATCTTGGGATCCCTGTCTTTTGAACCAGAACCTCTCAGAAGGAAGGAAGTTGGAGAACCATCCCTATTCTTCCTAAGGAAGCATTGTAAGAGTCAGGCTCTTAAAAAAGACAGGATTTTTTTTTTACCAAAGACATTTAGATAGTTTAGTGTTAATATCTTGTGAAAGTGACAAAGGACTTTTTGATAAAGGGCAAGAGTCTCTTTTGGAATTCATATATGGTTCTTAAGAAATAATTCAGGATAAGAAAGCTTTCCATCATGATGTGGGGTTTGGTTTTAGTTTGCAATTTAAATGTGGATATTTCTGTTTATTTGTAAAAATATGTTTTCCAACAACTTTGCTCCCATGCTGACTGATAGGAATATATTTTTTACTGTCTTTAAAAGGTCTAAAGAACCTCATTTGGTCTAAAGAACAGTATGATAAACATAGATCAGTTTTATATAAAAACTTTCTTATTTTAATTATGGCAGTTCAACTGATTTTCTCAGTCTGTATGTAGCATGGAAGACTAAGGGCATCTACATTTGATGAAGAATATGAGACAAAGCAAAAATCACAAAATTAAAAAAAATTGCATGTGGCAACACAGTAGATGAGAAGTGTTTAGTTTCAGTTATATTCTTATTCTTGAATATTTCTATTCTGTTATTAATGGACTTTGCCCTACTTTCATTAAAAATTACTTCTATCATTTATCTGACCGTCCTCAGCTTATAGACCATGAATGATATTTTTTCTTGAAACTTGAAATATGCCTTTAAATTTAGAGAGTATTGGAGTCAATTTTAGTAGTGGATTATTCTGTGTATTTTTACTTCACTTAGTTTTAAATAAACACCATTATGATAATTGTGTTATTGTTGTTGTTACTATTATTATTATTATTATTATTATTGTAGTTCTAGTGATCAAACCCAGGGCATGTGCAAAGCATGTGCTCGGCCACAGTTATGTCTCTCATCCTGTCATATTATTATTAAGATGCATGGCACAGTGTAGTTCTTTAAGACAAATACTTCATGTAGGTTTGAGTATCAGATGGAATCTAAAATCCAATTTGCTGTGGGAGATGATCAAAACCTCATTTTGAACAACTGGGAATTATCATTACTTTCCTAGGATAGTAACAGAGGTAAAGGAGTACTTTGGTAATATCAAAAGAAAATCATCATTGTAAAGAGATAAACTTAAAAAAACATATATTTTCATGGGGCTTGAGTGATAGTACAGCAGGTAGAATGCTTGCCTTGCATGGGGACAACCTTTGTTCAATCCCTGGCACAATATATAGTTCCCTGAACCCTACCTGGATGATCCCTGAGCACAGAGTCAGGAGTAAGCCTTCAGCATGGCTGAGTGTGACCCCCAAAACCAAAACCAAAATAAAACTTTTTTTTTATAATTTTATAAGGAGATTTAGAATTTTTCCTTTCCTTTTTCAAACTTACTTTTTATCATCGTATAAGCGGGTCAGAATTTTTCCTTTCCTTTTTCTTTTTAATTGTGTCGATAAAAGGATACATGGAAAAGGAAAAGATGTGGAAAAGATATCGCCATTCACATGTGGTGTTAAGTATTTCAACAAAGGTAATTCAGATTAAATGTTTCTATATGCTCAAAATAACAAGGCCCACATGGACAAACTGAAAGTAAAAACGCTACTCACTCTTATTTCACTACAGAATTAGATGATATAATAAAATTTCACTTAATAAAACTAAGAAGTCATGAGTCATCTTAGTTTTATTAAGTGAAATTTTTTTGTATCATGTTTTAGTTTGTGTTTTATTTGGTGTTTCATAGTTGTGTATATTATAGCTTCTTCCCAGAACACTTCTTATTTCAGTTTATTATTTCTACCTGTTCAGTAGGGGTGAGGAGAGGGCAGTTTAATTCTCAGTTAGAGGTGGTAGGATAGGAGGGAGAAAGGGAGGTGACAGATAAATTCAGAGCAGAAAACATGAATGTTACAGCTATGGAGCCATCTTCGACATTTCTCTCAGCATCAGGTTTTGGGGTTCTGATCCAGAAGCCCAGCACTGGAGCTAGCAGAACCCAAATCATTTAAAACCTTTTGACTATTACTTTTGAGCTGCGTGGTCTTGCTAAAGTAAAGGCTAAAACAAAAATCAAAATAAGGGTCATTTGTTGTGGAATACATATCAAGAGACAAGCCAGGAACTCAGTAGGTCTGCCTTTGCATGCTAATGAAAACAAATCATTATTCTGATAAATGAAGGCCATTTCTTCTGCAGCCCTCCAGGAGGAACGCTATACCTGACCCTTTCTTTGAAGCATTTGGAAGTCTGAACACTCAATTTCTTGCCACTGCCAGTTTTTGAAAATTGGCTTCTCCTCTCCTTGGGATTTAGCAGCAGAGTCAGCAATGACTCTACAAAGCCCTTGCACACCGGGGTTAAGGCTGAGGGTAGGGGCTGGGTTTTTCAGGAGTAAGCAGAATCTTAATGCCTTCGCCACTGATGGCAGGAGGAAATGAAAATATATACCTTTGGCTATTAGTGCATTAGGGGGCTATTGCGTTGGAGTTGTTTTGTGGCCACTGAAGAGCTGTCCGTGCTAATAACAGTAATCATACTCAAATTATTCAACGCCAATTTATTTACTTATTTTCCCTGTCAAAAAGACAATGCATCACAAACAAGTCACAGACAATTCTTTTCCTGTAAAGCTTGGGGCGCTCAATGTACATTCAGAGCCACGCACGCGCGTGCGAAGAAGTAGACTAGCACAGCTATTTAATCAGGAGTGTTTGTTGATTTGAGCAGAGGCCCTATGCTGTGAAATGAAAACAGAAAACCAAATTTTCTTGAG